CTTGGAAGGATGGCCCAAGACAGAGATAAATGGAAGGAGCTTGTATGTGGCCTATACCTTGCCAGGGGTGAAAGGCACTGATGATGATGATATGTTTAGTACTATTCTTTTGAACCTCTTAACAGTTTTGTAAAACTCTCTGGTCACGGTCAGGTGATGAAGCCTACAGTTGTACTTTGATTGTTTGCTCCTCTGTGCAGGTGGTAGATCACGCCCCTTACGGCACGACCACCGCCATCTTGGACGAACACAAGTGCGACTTTTGTGTCCACGGAGGTAGGTGACCCCCCAAAAAAACAGCAGTTTCGAGATAGAGAGTTTTTTTTTATTTGTCAGTGCAATCATTTACGAGATCAAAGGCGTTCTTCTGAAATTTGAATTCTAAATTATTCAAATTCTAGTCACAGTTTCACTTTGATTTTTTCACACAAGTAGGGTAACTGATCAGGCTTTCGGTTTTGCTAAGTAAAAGATTTGGCGCCAGAAATAAAAAAAAGTGTTTTGTCAGCTTACGGCAGCTGTTGTCTTTCGTGGTTGGTTGGAGGATGCTCTCGTATGGTTTGTTCCTAACCTTCTTTTCCATCAAACACCTTATCTCTCCTACTTTTTTATGTTTGTTACTCTCTAGTAACACCTTTAATCTTCGGCACTTGTTAGCTATGGTTCAATAAATTGTGTTGCGAGTGCCGTAAATATCTTACTGTCATTGTTCTTTCTGAGGGAAACTGAGAGAGTGGTTGATTGGCGGGTGCTCAAGTGTGGTTCGCTTCTTCTCTTCTATCAAACATCTATCGTCTTTATCTCCCCTCCTTTCTTTGTCTGTTACTCGCTAGTAACACCTCTACGCTTCGACACTTGTTGCAAGTGCTGTAAAACTCTTAAATACAAAAACAAAACTAAATAAAACAAGCCAACAGTACCAAAACCTTTTTTTTTTTCCATCACGGACAGTGGCGGTCAACTTTGCTCTGTCCTGAGAGGGATTTTGTGCCTGTAAATTGTCGCAAACAGACGCTCTCGGCACGCTGTCAGTTTATGAAAAGTAAAGATATCAGGTACAATTTCTGTGGATGGCTTTGGTCTTCCTCGTCTTGGTATTCCCGCTGTGTCGTGAAGAGAAGAACAAAGTAAAGACACACTCATCCTCCTTACTCTCACCTTCACTCTCATCTTCACCCTCACCAACCTCCGACTTTCTGTTGGGTGGTTGATGGGTGCTCTGGTGTGGTTCGCTCCTGCTTTCTTATCAAACCTCTATCGGGGCTCTCGTGGTCTAGAGGTTAAGTTGTTCGCCTCTCATTCAATGGTCCCGGGTTCGAATCCGGAAAATGACGGAAAATTTTCTCTTCTCTAATATTTCTCCTGTCACCTCATTTCCTTTCCTCTAACAATGTTCTGTTGTCTGCTTTCAATTCCACTTTCTGCCCCTACCCCCTCACCTCTTTTGCCCCTTCCTCTGGGCTCCTGACTCTTTCTGCAGCCTTTCTACTGCTACTCCTTGGCTCCTCCTTACTGCTGTCTTTCTGCCACACCCCTGATCTTATGGTAGGTAAGATGTACACCTAGCCTTCTCGGATAAGGGCGAAAAACATCGGAGGTCCGGTGTGGAGGTTGCGCACGTTAAAGATCCCTTGGTAGTCCAAAATCGACAAGAGTAAGCTTCGGCCGCCACCCGGGCAAAATTCAAAATTTCCTACCAACTGAAAATGTTTAATGTGTCTTGCGCGCTTATATGACATTAGGCAGTTGCGAGTACAGTAAAACACTTACAAAAAACCTCTTCTTTTCCTGATCACTGCTACTTTTTTGCGTTTGTTTCTCTCTTGTAATACCTCAAATCTTCGTTGACTTATATAACCTTATTGTATTGCAAGTGCCTTAAAACGCTTTTATGAAAACTAAACTAAGCGACTTTTTATGTTTTTTAAAATGTTTTTTTTTTTTTTTTGGTCCTGTTCAGATGATGCCCCGATCCTCACAAATCCTGATGACATTTTGTGGAAGCTTCACGCTGTACACCGACTGAGGTAGATATCTTGCTGTTGTTGTGTTGTTGTTGTTGCTGTTGTTTCTGTTGTTGTTGTTGTTGTTGTTGCATTTGTGAGTACAATGTATTAGGATCATCAGAACCATGAGGTGAAAATCATGAAGGTTGTTACGATGAATTGGATGGAGGCAGGGGTGAAAAGTAAGGGAAGTCCCAGCTTCTGTTCCGCTCACAAGTACAACGGAAATTTATAATTTGAATGTTGGTACGATTTAATTTCGCTTCATCTTTTCCTGTGTTTGGCGGGTGCACTAATGTGGTAGGCTTCTTTTTTCCTATCAAACACACTTACTGTTCTTATCTCTTCTTCTTTTCTTTGTATGCTACTCTTTGGTAGCGGGTCGTAGGCGGGTGTCCTGCTGTGGTTTGTTCCTTCTTTCCTATGAAACATCTATCGTCCTTAAGGAGGGGGGGGGGGGGTACACATGAAGGTTATCTCTCTTATCAGTGGATCACATTTTACAAAATTTCACACATATAACAAGCATAGTATGGAGTCTTAAAATCCGCAATCAAATCTGAGAAAAAACAGTTTCGTTTCCATGCATACGGCGACCATATTGGATTTTGATAATATGTCTTACGTGATGAAAAACGCACTTAATTTTCATGAATATAGATTGGTTTATAGCATTCGTGTTAGCAAACATTACATCTACAAATTTGTCTGTTGAATTTTTCCTGAACGAATTAGACATTTTTAAATGAATTTCTACCTGAGTTAGTAATTCAAATTTGAAAAAAAAAAAGTTTCATTAAGAGTGAATGAAAATTGGTGGAGTTATTCAAACTCAAACAAGTGTATAGAAACACGCATTTGAGAAAACGGCGATGAAGAAAAATAATTTTAAAAAATGACTTTAGGAGGAAATGGTAGGGAAAAACATTCCTGGTATGGGAAGAAATAAAGCTTTAGGGTGTTCTTATGCAGTGAAAGAGTTGTTAGAGAGGCTGAAGAAGCTAAAAATGCCTATAACTCAAAATCCATAATTTTGAGTCGAATGGGGACTTTCTGGGAGTTGCGCCCCTCCCCCCTCCCTTAACTCTCTTTCTTCCTTATTTTTTGTGTTACTCTCTTGTTACACCTCTAATCTAATCTTCGGCACATATATAACCTAATTGTGTTGCAAGTGCTGTAAGACGTTTTCCAAAAATTAAACTAGCTCCTATTTGTGTTGTAAACGCCGTAAAAAGTATTATAACTAATAAAATATTGAAAATACAACAACCGCCCCCCCAACCCCCCCCCAGAAATATTAACTAAACTCTTCATTTTATTCCCCATCCCCCATCTACCAAAAGGTTTGCTAAAAGGATTGGAACCTCAACAACAAAGATAATACAAAGGTGAGCGAAACAGTTTTTTCTGTCCTATTCTGTCCTCCTTGTTTTCTGTGCGGGTTAAATAAACTGAGGTCCTTGCCTCTATACAAGAAAATTACAAATAGAATATAGTCCTTGCCTCAATACAACGATCTCAAAAATAGACCATGGCATTTACCTCAACACCAGACATTTCGGTGCCAAATACAAAAACGACAACTGAAGCTTGGAAATCAGTACCTATCTGCAAACACAAACACAAACACACGCACAAACACACACACACACACACACACACACACACACACACACACACACACACACACACACACACATACACACACACACACATACTCATACACACTCACACACACACAAACACACTCACACACACACACGTATACACACACACACAAACACACACACACACAAACACACGTGGGTGGTTGGCAGGTGCTCTGGTATGGTTTGCTCCCTCTTTCCTATCAAACAACTATCGTCTTTATCTCTCCTCCTTCTTTTTTATGTTTGTTCCTCCTCTTGTAACACCTCTGATTCTCGGCACTTATATGACCTAATTGTGTTGCAAGTGCCTTAAAACTCTTGCTAAAACTTTAAAAAATCACAAACACACACACACACACACACACACACACACACACATGCACACACACGTACACACACATACATAGATCTTCACACATTCACACACGCACCCATCATCCCATATACAAACACTTTTACCAACATTCACTTCTCAATGCATTTAAGAGAGAAAGTAATGTTTTGATGACTCTAGCTCAATCAAAAGCTGTTTTTCGTCATCCCAGGATTTTGGATCGTTCTTTACAATCAACGAGTGATGGTGAAGTCCAGTCTAACGGTTCCGCCCAACAGGTAAAGTGAAGTCCAGTCTAATGATTCTCTCCCTCTTAAAAAATGTTAGGTCCAATTTAATGATTCTGTCCTGCTTAAAGAAATGTTAGGTACAATCCAATGAGTCCGTCCTGGTTTAGGTAGTAATGTGTGTCCAATCTAATTCCGTCCTGCTTAAGGAAGTAATGTGTGTCCAATGTAATGATTCTGTGCGTTCAGAAGCTTACGGCCCGGTCCACGTTTGCTACTTGAACTGTCCACCTGGGTTTTTTTTTTTTACGGTGAATGTGTGTGGTTGGCGGGTGCTCTAGTGTGGTGTGCTCCTTCTGTGATATTTAAGCATCTGTCATCCTTCTCTTCTCTTTACTCAAACAAAACAAACATACCTTAGATGCTACGTCATTATGTGCGTTACGTCTTCATCTTTGTGGGTGGTTGGCTGAGATGCTCTGATGTGGTTACTCCTGTCCTGGCGTCCTTACTCCTCATCATTGTTTTTTTTAAAAATGTTATTCTCTAGTAAACCCCTAATCTTGGTACTCATTTGACCTATTCGTGATGTAACTTCCGCAAAACTCTCATCAAAACTTATTCTTAAAAACAAAAATTACAAGTATACATTATGGCCAAAACGCTGTGGTTTTCTTCGCTATGACAATGCTGTAGACCTTACTTGGTTATCGCATGGTAGGTCCTACTTCTTTACTTTCCCTTTTTTGCTTCTGTCTGTGCCCCCTCGGGGCGGTGCCACTGACTGAAGTGTCTTTAGGACATTCCCAAAAGGGGGGGGGGGCATTTCTCGTTCATGCACAGCAGAATTGTAAATGGGTTGATTCATCAATGTCACGCTCATAACTGTGCCTAATCTACAACAGGGAACTGCTGCTTTTTCTTTCCTAATCCTTACTATTGTCCTTTATCCTCTACTTCTTTTGTATTGACCCACTATTTCTGGGGTGCATTGATAGTCGAAGCAGACTTTGTGCTGTTGAAGCTAGAGAGGTGAGCAGAGTAAGGACTTCTCTGTTGACATCCACCGCTTGGTGCTCATATGACCTTATGCAGTTGCGAGCGCCGTAAAACCTCTACTAAAACTAAAACTAAAACTAAAACTTTCTGTCTGTCTGTCTTACATTTTTCTTAGCACCAAATGACCATTACTGAGTCGATGCATTTCTCTTTGCTCAAACACTCTGTTAAAGGGGTCACGTAGTGTTTTGCCCCTGTACATTAGCATTGGTTTTCCTGAACAAATAGCGTCAAGTAAAATTAAACAATGATTTCCCCAGACCGTCTCCGCGGGGGAATCTCAAGAGTCCGAGTTCGAGTCCAGCCATTTTCTGATCACGTCCTCAACAATGGCCAAATTCTCCAACCAGAAATCTCCTCAAGCAGGGGACACAGTGGTCTATGTGGCCGGCGCTTTCGACATTTTTCGTATCCTTATCGGCCCCTTTTGGGTCAAAGCCAGCGCTATCAATACGCCATTATTTTGCCATTTTTCTGAATCAAAACCCTTTCTTACAATATGCATCAAAGAAAAATATTTTGAGTCAAAGCCCCCCCCCCCTTAACAATAATATTATGCTGTTTTTGAATCACAGACCCTGTACCAATACGCCCTTTTTGGGCCAAAAACTCGCTCTGACAAACGCGCCTTTTTTTTTTTAAAGACCACTCTTACAACACTTCTATTACTTTAAACATTTTTCGATTCCTTCTCTGCTGCACTTCTCTCTCCAGTTCCAGCGTGCACTTGTACTCAGAATGATCTCGACATGAATGGCAATCTGTCTGTCTGTCTGTCTGTCTGTCTGTCTGTCTGTCTGTCCGGCCACTGACCTTGACTCATGACCCAGATACAGGACACCTGGACTTTCTCGAGAAGGCGGCGGCTTTGGGGGACTTCCTGTTGGTGGGGGTCCACTCTGATAGGGTGAGTCTGTCTGTCTGTCCGTCAGTCAGTCTGTCTGTCTGTCTGTCTGTCTGTCTGTCTGTCTGTCTGTCTGTCTCTTCGGAGCAAGTGTCATCAGAAAACAAGACGTTTGGTCCTGTAACAGTAATAGTCTTCATCTGTTACCGAAATGTGCAGAACATAGTCTGTTCATGACCAGTACAAACTTTCACCTGCCAGTAAAATCCAAATCTTCATGAATAGATCCACGCTTTAAGAACGGCATTTCTTTGATTATAGTATAGTGAAACGTATAGACTTGAGTGATATCAGAATCACTCGCGTCACAGACTGATTGTAAGCAAAGCCAGCCTGAGATTATATAATAAAGCATCCCCGGGGGGAACCGTACCCCAAAAGACAACACAAATAAACAATTTTTTAAATGCAAGAGTCAAAAGTACCCTCGAAACAGACCTTTATACACCAAACTGAACAAAACCACCTACACCCCCAGTGACATTGAAAGCGTCTGGGCTTTACCCAGAAACACGATCGATACAACAGCCTCAGAAACAATCGGCTGTTCCAGTGTTCGTCATAAGGAGATTCAGAAACTCCTTCAAAGAAAGAGAAAGCAAACCCGGTAACCCAAATCCCAGTCAAAACGAGACTCATTAAGGTCTTGAAAAGAACATCTTCTGAAGGTATACTATTATATTAGGGTACTGAAAAAGTTGTACTAATATTATATTATCTATATTAGGATACAGAATGAGACATGTTCATACACATATTTGGGTACAGAAATAGATGTATATATTAATTTTAAGATACAAATATAGATGTGTATATTATATTAGAGTACAGATAATGGTACAGAACTAGATGTGTGTATAAAACAGGAAACAGAAATATATGTGTTTATTATAAGGGTACATAAATAGGTATGTGTATAAGTTTTGTGTGAATATAAAAGGGTACATACATAGATAAGTGTATATATTAGGTTACAGAAATAAATGTGTGTATAAGTGGGTAAAAAATGGACGTCAATGTGCGTGTGCCAGAATGCAAAGGTAGACGCCACTTTGTCCATTGCTTTTGAACATAGATATAATAAAATCAGTGCTGGTTGTTTCTCACACACACAGTCCCACCCACCCCAAGCTACTGACTACGTATGGCTATAACCCCCTTCCCCATCCCACCCCTACTCCCACCCCTACCCCTACCTCCACTCCTACTCCCACCTTCATCCAACTCTTATCCTCACCCCTACCCAAACCCAACACACCCGACCCCCTCCCATATCCCCATCTCAACCCTATCAATATGTCTACATCCTCCTCTACCCTACTCCCACCTCTTCTCCGACCTCCACCCCCACCCCCATCTCCACGTCTACTCCACCCCTAACCCCACCTCTAACCCCACCTCCACCTCTACCCCCACACCCCGGTTCCTACAACAAAGACCAAGCAGCAGAAAAGCTAACGGTAAGTAAACTTGAAAATGTACTCACTCCGAGCAGTAGAGAATCAGTCATGTCGTCTTTTCCCCTGTTTCAGATGGTGAGATGGCGAAAAGGTCCCATCCACCCCCTGCTCAACTTGCAGGAGAGAGTGCTCCGGGTGTTAGCCACCAAGGTAATCACTGACTACCTGTAGTGTACCTAGAACATAATTAATGACTACAAATGGTGTAAATAATA